TTTCAACCCAGCACCCCCTGAATAAGAAGCATGAGTTCTACCTACTCAGCTGGTGGTTAGGTTACTTAATGACGCTGATTCTACTCTAGTCGTAGTGTAATAGGAAATAAGATATGGTCGCGAATGATCAGTAGGTAATGATTTTGTCTGTTTGAAATGTAACATCCGCCTCGCTGTCTGTTTGTGTTGTCCCGTGTAGGTAGCGACCTTGCGACTGGCTGATCCCCCATCGAAGAAGTCCGACCAAATGTCTAGAAGATTCATAGTTTCGAGGTAATAGTGATGGGACAGCCCAATGGGCCTAATCCGTCAAGGCAGAAGAAACAGAAGACAGCAACATTCTGGCGTAATCATGGAAAATCTTAGGAAAACAGTAGAACCTGCATAATTATGGCAGCTAGTTTACCTGCTGGGGTTCGAACAGGTTACATCCCGAGCACACAGTGGGCGCTGCAACACTGTGCTGTGTAACTATTGTATCTACGGATTAGAACTAGATTTATGCATTTTTTTTGCTAGTGGGGTGGGACTAAGTCCCTTGTACTGCGGCCACTTCTGGCCTACTGTACCGGCCCCAGATGATAGGTGATGGTGATTGTGGAGCAATTGGTGGAATGAAGATTGGCAGGGGAAACCTGCCCCAGGGCCACTTTGTCCACCACAAATCCCACTTGAGCAGACCCAGGATCGGGGAGCCAGCGACTAACCGCTTGAGCTGATGCAGTTAATACTAATCTGATAACTGGACACATAATTTTTGAAAGGTGTAAAGGTTTCTGACGGTGGTATGTAACATTTGGGATTGCTGGGTTTCTGGACTTCGTTATCCGGTATTGTAAAGAACATAATATTTCGGAAAGTGGATCTATTTCTGTCCTCATGTGAGGGGGTGGGAGACACTTTATTGGGCCCGTTAGAAAGCGCTGAGCTGGTCCAGTGAGATTAACTTTTCTGACGGACATAACAATGGGTGTCTCCCACCCCCTCACCTGAGCTCTAAAGAAATCCAGTTTCCGAAACGTTTTGTTCTTTATAATTCCGGACGATGGACAGAGTAAACCCAAGACAAAACCTTTGAGCAAATAATTTTGTCTGAAAAGAATAGAGAGAGTGCCCAGCTGTTTCGTAAATGAAATTCTTTACAAAAGTCAGATCTACAGGACTTTACATTCTATTACTGAATCTTCCTATGTAACGTTTATTTTTAACTGTCGTTCTCGAGATTCGAACTCAGGGTTTCGGTACTAGCGACCTACTTACAGTTAACCAGTTAATGGTCGGACTGCCTCACTCCGTAAGGAGTGGCCGGGGAGCGGTATCATGCAAAGAGAAAGGTTACGGAAAGGTCACTGTGTACATCACATGCTTTATTCAACATGGCGGCTGTCATTATTTGATCATTGTCTGCTGATGGTCCAATGCGTATCCTTTTCAGTAAGCCAAGTCGCAAACTGCTGACCCAATTTTACTATGGACTGTGACATGACAGTGCGCTTAGTATCTTCTTCTGACTTGCCAAGTACGAGCTCGAAGATAGTTCTGATTGCCTGATAACTTGTGCGAAAGCTTTCTCGGCAGTGCTGTAGTAGACGCACATTGTCGTCAGTTTGTATACTATTCAGTATGAGTAGTTTGGTTATGATTCTGACATCATTGACTTTGGTGCAATTAAGCTTATCTCCTGATTCATAAACTGGTCTAGCGATATGACAAAGCCCATCGAAAAATATTCGGTTGATCTTTGTTCCCAGAGCATGAAACAATCATTCAGGTTTCATCCTATTTTACTATCGTAATGGTAATGCTTGGAAGGAGGATGGGGTGGGCAGGGCACGTAGCACGAATGGGGGAGAAGAAGAATGTATATGGAATATTGGTGGGAAAACCAGAAGGAAAGAAACCACTGGGAAGACCAAGGCGTAGGTGGGTGGACAGTATTAAATGAATCTTACGGAGGATGTGTTTGTATGGATTGGATTGATATGACTCAGGATAGGGACCAGTGGAGGGCTCGTGTGAATATGGTAATGAACCTTCGGGTTCCATAAAATGCTAAGAAATTGTTTAATAACTGCAGAATTGGCGGCTCCTCAAGAAGGGCTCAGCTCCACGAGCAAGTGAGAGTAAATGGTGATGCTTGGAAGTATGGTAACACAGTCCGGCGATTGATGCTACGCGCTCAGGTTACAGACAGTACGAATTCTGTCAGTAGATGAATCTGTCAACAGTAGTCTCCCTGTCAACTGATGCTGTTTGGAAGGACGTACTGCAACCCCTATTTTGTTTATTCATTGCTGAATGATGTGATTGGCTTGTGAATTCTGGTACGAATTTGTACTTAAGCGTTCCATCTCCTGCTCGTGTAAGCCTGTTCTGTCCAACGTTTAAGAGGCCTACCAACATCTTTTTTTTTCTATCAGTATTTCTTGTTCTTTCTTTTTCCACCTCGTGAATTGTTATAGTCCTTTTGGCGTACTATCCAGATGTTATAGGCCGTGCCGTAGCTCAAGCTTCCCACCGGTCGGCTCCAGTCCCAGGTCAGGTCATGTGGGATTTGTGGTGGACAAAGTGTTACTGGGGCAGGTTTTATGTGAATACTTCGGTTTCCCCTGCAAATTCTCGTTCCACCATCTGCTCCATGTTCATTGATTGTCCTGTCATCGAGCCAGTATTGTCTCGATACTGATTGGGTCGCTAAATAAGAACTTAGACGCTAAACCACTTCAGTCTACGTGAAGTAATTTTTTCTCATGCCGTTTTAGGCGCTTTCTTAACCTTGCCAAGGCCCCTATTAAATCGATTACTCCATCCGTCTACTCGTTTGTGCGCACAAAATAACACGAGAACCACTGTACCGATTTTTATGAAATTTGATGTTGGGTAGTTTTAATAAAATTTTGGGCACATCCAATTTTGGTTACAGTCGGACTAATGAAACGTATTATTTTCCATGAAGACGTACATGCGTAGCGTAGCTGAGTCGGTTGGACAGCAGAGGAATTTGGGTTCGATTCCCGGCAAGAGAAAGGGGTATTTCTTTTCTGTACTGTGTCCAGACCGGCTCTGGGATCCATCCAACCTCCTTTTGAATGCATATCGGGGACGCTTCCCCCAGGAGTAAAAGGAGCAGGGGCATGAAGCTGACCACTCACCTCTGTCCAGTAACGAGATCAAGAATGGTGGAGCCCATACCATCACTCCCCCACACGGCTTCGTAGTGTGGCGCCTAATTAATTAAGCACAAGGAGAACTTTGCCTTTCATCTTTACTTGCACGAAACTCGAGCATATGCCGCTGAATATTTATTGGCGCGAAACATGTTTAGAATAAAAATCACAGAGAAAACTGAAGCACATAATTTACATCACATGCTCTTTTCCTGTAAGTCTTACTTGTTTTGAGGTAGCTAATCAAAAGAGAATGTACTCCTTAGAATTTTTATATTATGCATACATTTTGTAATGTGTTTTTATGTACTTACAATTTCAGAAGTTTTAGTTACGTCCAAAATCCGCCAAAAAAAAAAATGTTTTTTTTCTTTGGTGTTACAGTAATGCCTACATTATCTATCACCCACAGATGAATTAGCAGCAGTGAGCCAGTAGAAATGATCTGGCCTGCTTTATCGTCCCCATAGAAGTGGTTCTCACATGCTGACCTAGAGATAATGCCAAATGCTTTTTTCATATCTCTCCAAGCAAATGTCAGAATATTGCCTCAGTTAGAAGACCGAATGTTCCTTCCACATTTTTTTAATAATTCATCTACTATCTGACACTATGGAGTCGAAATACTGGCAGCTCCATAAAATAAACCATAAAAGAAAGATAACTTGCTTTGAATGTAGGTTCGCTTAAGTCTGAATTTAGCATCACGCTTTTTACGCTTTATAGACTGATCTTTTGTTGTTGGTAATTGTGGGCTAGAGAACTGGCTGCACTGATTAATTCAGCTTTATATAAGAACATGCGACTCAGTGCAGTAGTAACATTGTCTCAACATCAGAGATTATGTTGCCTAAATAAGATTTGATGATGGTCGTAAAGACATGTGAGGAGTTATTTCGGAGGAAGGGAAGAACTTAGTGCGTTTGAGAATTTTTGTGAAGAAAATACACAACAAACTTCAGTCCTGTTTCTTAGCTGACATCTAGCGGACAGCTCCCATGTTGCAACGCACACATTGCGTTGTCATGTTCTCCTGGTGGTGTTTGTCACTGTGAGAGTAACACTTTAACTGTTTAAAGCTCAGTTATTAATGCATGTACTGCCTCTTGAACATTTAAGAATTTTTCTTCTTAGTGGGGTGAGACTTAGTCCATTTGGTAATGCGGCCATTACTGGCCTATTGTACCAACCCCAGATGATAGGTGAAGGTGATTGTGGAGCAGTTGGTGGGATGAAGATTGGCAGGGGAAACTGAATTACTCGGAGGAAATCTGCCCCAGTGCCACTTTGTTCACCACAAATCCCACATGACTTGACCTGTGGTTGAACCCGGGCCACCGCGGTCTGAGCTATGGCACGGCCTTCAACATTTAAGAATGCTTCATTTTATCCACATATTGTGCTACCTGGTGTTATATGATTCTCAGAATAAACACTGATTTTTCCTTAAATAACATTAATCGGTTTATCTTTGTAATGGAGATGCAGTGTATTTTCTGTGAATCATCACCTGAATTTTTAGTATTATGTATTAGGTAGGTTTCAATTTTTAAAGGTTTAGAACATATGATACAGTTTTCAAGCCTCTTTCTCAACTTGACTCACTTGTATTCTGAAGATGGAGGTTTTCCTCAGAAACACTGGTACCCTCCTATGAGGTGATGTCATAACTCAAGAAACCAAAGTATGAACTCTGCTTCAGATGGATATATAGGCCAGTCTTATACATCACATTTGAATTTTTAAATTTTCTTAAATTACCAGCTTTCCTCCAAACTTGTTCCCATAGAAGCAGAACTTTTTGATTCATGTGAGTATTTGTCTTCTTTGTAGTTGCTGGACATGCTTAAATTCTACTCACGATTTGAAATCAGTGATGAGACAGGGGACCCTCTCACAGATCATGACATGACTGAGATACATTACTCCAGAATTAAGTCACTACAGGTAAGTTAGCATTTTTGTACTAGGACATGTTTGATCTGTATATCCTAAAGCAGATAATACACTCCGTTACAGTACACTTTTTTCATTACAATTTTATTACATGTGTGATTTGTAATTTGATGTTTTCAATGTCACAGAAAGCAGCATTTGCAAAGTTCCCAGATTTACGTGACTTTTCTTTGGCAAATGTTGCAAGTGTGGATACAAGAGAGGCACTGTTGAAGCACTTTGGACCACTCAGGTATGAATGTGGAGTAGTCATATAGTTCTAAAAGAATACAGAAATACTGTTTCAATTTACTTTGAAGTTATTGGTCTTTGTTTTATTGAACAGAAACTTGTTTTCTTTACAGCCAGGAGAAGTTGAGGAGTATTGCAACATATCTCAACTTAGTCCCACCTCCTGACAAGGCTGAAGTGGAGGATTGGTTCCGATTTGATAATGACTTTCTCCTCGAACTTCTGGTATGATCTGTCTTACACGCAACTAAAATTTACTTCTGTGTACAGAAATTATATACATCTGTTTTGTCTGAACAAGATACTGGTACTGTTCTGAGATGTATTTCCTGATTGTTTGTACTTACACTGGTGTACATGATTATAATGCACAATTGTGCATGTACTGTTTTGATAGTTTTCATGTCATTATGGTGGTGGCAATGGTAGTGGTATATTTAGAGCCACTACAGTTACTAAGGTTAAAAATGTCTCACAACACTGTAGAATATATTCAGAATTTGCACCACATTTCACGTGTACAGACTAACCAGTCAGATTTGGAAAGTGTGTCACTGTAGGACTCTTGGGTACCATGCCCTACTTCATCAGCCAGAATACTGTTATTATTTCTTTTATGGGTGGATGACTGCCATGTTTCTCTACAGTAGTATGTTTATATTAAAGTTTTCTAAGGCGCTTTTTGAATAATATGTGTGCACCTACTAATTTTGACATGTTCATTCCCCCATTTGTATTCATATAATGATGCCACTTTGGGTTAATAGACAGTGATAAAATTTGGTAATGTGAGATTCTTCTGAACTTTATCCATAAAATTAGGTTGGGGGTGGTCAAAATTCAGCAATATGGGATAAAATTTTGCATGAAGATTTAGTTAATAGATACATTTCTATAAATAACAATTAGACCAAAGAATTTTTCAGGCAGAATATACAGGTGAATATATTCTGTCATTTTTATTTCATTCATGAAATGGATTTCATAAATGAAGGTGCACAGAATATGCCTATTATTTTTCCTTTGCTTGCCCAGTTTTTGTGCCCATACTGTTGTGCAGCAACATGTGATACTCACTTGCATGTCTCAGGAAGTGTTCTGAAGTAATGTGAGCATAACTAACAACTTTCAGTATCTCTTCTCTTCTCTCTCTTATTAGAATAAAAATGCAAATGCAAAGCTATGTTTTTATCTGCAGGTGTCACGGCATGAGCGACGTGCCTCACAGCTGCAAGCCCTGAATGAGATGCCTCTATATCCAACAGAGGATATCATCTGGAATGAAAATATTGTCCCAAGTGAATATTTCTCTGGAGAAGGTTGCCTGGCTCTACCAAAACTCAACTTACAGTTTCTCACACTACATGATTATCTGCTGCGCAATTTCAATCTATTCCGACTGGAGTCAACATGTATGTATCAGAACCTTCTGTAACTACTCATAAGTAAGTAAAAAGTAAAGCTATCCCTGTACCAGGCTGTGAAGGCCCATAGGGTTGTGAAACGTTGAGGGTCCCACATTATCTAGACAATCAGCTCAAAGATAGCGGTAAGATTGTCAGCCTTATGTGCTGGCCGCGCATAATTATTTAATTAATTCCTGGTACTCATTTCTGTTAGAGGCTTAGTGAACCCCAGGGCCACAGTGTGGCTGGAAGGATTAGGTCAATTGAAAAAATCCAGTGACCTCATTGGGACTTGAACCCGCAACCTTCCTGCTTGTAGCATAGCGCCTCAACCAACTACACTACCGTGTGCACTCATACTGTTTCATAACATTGTAATGCAGAACATGCAGGTATGCATCTGATTTCAGCTTATCATCATCAAAACTTCAAGCATATAAGACAGAGAAGTATGAAATTCTTAGTGAGGTGATATTGAATGGATGAGAACATGGCCCTATTATATTGGCCATTATTCACCAATTTGTGTTAAATGGAAATATGACCACATGTATGATTAAGAGGCCAAAAAGTTAATGCTGTTTCAAAATTATAATGAACTAGGTTAGAACTTGAAATATACATTCACTAAAGGATAAAGGAATTCTCCCATTACTCTCCATTAGAGAAATAATTTAAAGATTCTAAGTAATGCCATCTGTCTGAGTAAATAAACAAAGTAATCTTTATGTGACTGTCACTTGACCTGTTCAGCCACTTGAGAAATATACTGCAGTATTTATATTGAAGTGAGGTTGTTTGATCAATATTTGTAGTAATTTGGTTTCCTCTTTTGTAGATGAAATTCGACAGGATATTGAAGATGCAGTCAGTAGATTAAGTCCATGGTAAGTGACACATTTAAATGTGACTAGTTTCCTGGGTCCAGTAACTTATGCTACTCACTAATACAGACACTATGGAATTATTCTGTTTTAAATGAGAGTAGAAAGATGCATCGGTGCAGGTGTTCTTCACTGTAAAACATATTCACAAAATTTTTGACCCACTAATGTAAGTTAAGTCACATGAATATTTTTCTCAGTCTCTTTCTAAACTAAAACATCTTTGAGTTGATGAATATTTAACTAAATAACTTGAGATTACCAGCTATTTGGAATAATTTTACTGTTTATGAATGTTATTAATTTGCTGTTATGGCCACTTCCTGTTTGTTAGTGGCAACACTTCTGTGCACTTACTTGCTATACGGCAGGCTGTGTGACCTCATGTTTTATATTCTTCAGGAAGGCAGAAGATGGCAGCATCTTCTATGGAGGGTGGGCTCGTATGGCGCAGCCAATTGTCAATTTTGCTGTTGTTGAAGTGGCCAAGCCTAACATTGGTAAGAGATACACACTAGAACTAGATGTTTTCAAGTACATGGTAAGAACATGGTGTAAATTATTGGTACTCTAATGAAGGCATTGAGCTAATGAAGAGCAGAGTTTGCTGTATATCTTAGAAAGATATGATCTTGGATAAATATATTATTAGAGGTACCTTATACAATATATTGGCTGTTCCAGTGGTGATTTTCTCTAGCTTCTTTGAAAAGCTGATAGTCACTCAAATTGTCAAGAAATTGTGTATGTTTTGGAACCCAAAGTTTAATTACCACTTTCACATAAAATTCACCATTGAAAAAAAAAATGATTATGGCTGTACTATAAAACTATATGTAAGAATTGTATTTGTGCAAGTTATAAAATTGTGGTTCGTTAAAAATGTCCACTATGGTTGGAGGTCATGTTATATTTCTAACAAGATGGCAGTATAAACCTGAATTTTACTTTTATCTGTCCTTCTGGAAGACTGTGTTTCCCCATTTATGTTAGTGCTGGAATGAAATACACTTTTAGTGTTTTTGTCTTGAATGTCTGTGATACATCTTTATTTTTTTGTAAATTTTGAGCAGTATATGACAGTTTCAAGTGTTTCAAATTCTCTTGTTGATTGCATTTTTAATCTTAGCATTTGTTTTCTATTCTTATATCATTTATTTTATTAATCTTATGAGTACTGTGTTCTCTGTGTAGCTGCTTCTCTGTATCGTCTCCATATTAATCAGGCATTGATGGTTAAATATACATATCTTTCCATTGCTGTATTGGCTGCTGAACTGATGGGATCTTTCAGGGGAGAAGCGACCGTCACGAGTTCGTGCTGATGTAACAGTGAATCTTAGTGTCAGAAATGAGATCAAGGCAGAGTGGGAAAATCTTCGTAAGCATGATGTCTGCTTCCTCATTACTGTCCGTCCTATTGCTACCATAGGTAAGATTCATCCTACTGAATGAAATCAAATATATTTGCAAACAGTGGTGTATTTAAGACTTGAGTCATTGTTGATAAAATGTCATCAGTTTCTGAAATTACCCTGACATGAACCTTTAAGGCTGTAATGAAATAATAGGAAATATGCCTGATTTATACTACACGAAGCTCTTTTCTAGACCTAGTGGGCAAAATAAATGGTAAATGCAAAATTATGTTCAACACAAAATTCAGCTGTTTACATGACCCAAAGACAATAAAACTCCATTATTACATGGGTTCCCAGATACAGAATGAAGACCCACAGTATTTTGGGAAATTTCATGAGAAATATTTATTTTTATATGAAAGTTTTTGTTTATACGAAATTTAATATAAATTTGCAACTAAAATGATATTGTATTTAGGCCTAAATGCATGCCTTATGTAATCAATGTTTTTAAAATAATCCAATATTATCTTTGGTGCAACAGCTGCTGTCATGTCAGTGCCTCCTTAGTAAATCACTGATCATATGCAAGGTCCTGTACCCCACTCAGAGTGATCGAGTAGATTCAGTTGTTTGGACAAAGTTCTGTTGTATTTTAGTGCCCTGTTGCACTGATTTTCATCCATGATATGTATACAGTTGCCGTCTTGTAGTGCACTCAATTTCATCTGTTACTTCACGACATGTTTCGGCAACATAGTGCCATNTACTTTTTAAATAATTTTATAAAGGCAAGCAATGAAATAGATTAGCGTAATTAGGGCACCTGATGATGGCACTATGTTGCCGAAACATGTCGTGAAGTAGCAGGTGAAATTGAGTGCACTACAAGACAGCAACTGTATACATATCATGGCTGGACAAGGTTGTTTATGAAGGAAATTGAAACAAATTTGTTTACAAAGAAAATAAATGGAATCTATTTTGGGAGACATGACTCAATCCGCAGAATATTTGGATCTGCAGTGTAGTGAGGCACATTATGACAGTTTTACTGTATTTTATCCTTTTATTGGCTGTGGGATTTAGTTAAGTATGCCTGTTCAGAAACACTGATATTTTCACTTTAAACAGTAAACAAATTCTGTACTTCCAGGTACCAAATATAGCTACCGTGAACCATTTGTACCACAGGTGGGCCTGACATATGTGCGAGGATGTGAGATAGAGGGAATGCTTGACCAGAATGGACGAGTTATTGAAGAGGGTCCTGAGCCCAAACCACAGTTACCAGGAGAGAAGCGAACTTTTCGTGTGTGGCTAGACTGCAACCAGTACCGTGCTGATATGGACTTGGCAAGCCAGGGAAAAGAGGTCTGTATATAGCGATCAACATTTCTTCAACACAGTTTGTTGAAATTGAGTTTTGTATACAGGTTTTATAGGTAACAGTTTTAATTCCAGAAGCAGTGCCACAAAACTACAAAAATGGACAGAATGTGTTATGAATGATACCAAAGAAATTGAAATGATTTCAGGAGAAATCTGCTCCCTTCATTCAATCAAATTTCATTGACAGATTCTCAGCTTAAGTTTGAAATGTAGTCCAATAAGGGAGAAGACATTCTTTTAGGAGGTGCTTACGAGTATATAAATGTCATTTGCAGATCTGCAAACACATTACCAAGTTCTGATATTGCATTAACCCCTTGACAGAAGAAAATTTCAGTCTTTCACCCCACCTGGAATATTCGCATGTTTGGAGGAAAAGTTACATCATTCTGTGTTCAAGTATTTATAAAAATTATCTAACCAGAGTTGTGACAGGTTGATTGTTGTAAGAGATAGAAAGTCTTTTCATAAGAGAGAGGGACAGATATACTGGTTCAGTATAAGAGAGTGAGAGAAAGAGAAGCTTTGACACCCTATTGCCTCAATGGAAGAACAGTATATAGTAAGATGACTAATTCATGTTCAAGCGGCCTCCGTAGTCTAGAGGTAACGTTCCCACCTCATGACTCGTAGTACACAGGTTCAAACCCGGCGGAGGTCGTGGAATTTTTAAGGGTGGAAAAATTCAGGGAACAAGTCCTCCGGGAGGGACTTTAAGCCGTGGTCCCGTGTCATAGCTTTACAGCACGTAAAAGAACCTCATATCTAGTAAGGAGGTCAATGAGCCAAATTCAAGAACATTTCCTGCCCAACAGTAGTCTCTAACGCCTCTGATATATGGGGGAAGCATTATAGATACCGCTAAGCCGGTGGAGGCCGAACTCGCTGGCTTGGTCGGGACTGATGGTAAGCACCAGCATCGGTAAAGTATAGAGACTGGTAGAATATCATAGAGGGAAGCACAATGGACCAATACTGGTCTAAGTGCATGGGAAAACCCACCCTCTCCAATAACTAACTAACTAACTAATTCATGTTCAAGTTCTCATTTCAGACAAAAGTCCTGTAGTTCTTTTGAGAGCTGTGGTGTGTAACTTTGTATTGGGACACATTTTACTATTGCTTCTCTAATTTCCTCTTCTTCTTCTCTGTCATTTATTGCACTGCTAGTTATCACCATTGCACAGTGCTTGCTGTTGAAATAACACTTGTAATTTAAAAACTGTAACAATTTTTCAGGATGTGTATGAGACCTTTAACATTCTAATGCGTCGCAAACCTAAGGAGAACAATTTTAAGGCAGTGCTGGAAACAATTCGAGAGCTCATGAACACAGAGTGTGTTGTGCCAGGCTGGTTACATGATATCATCCTGGGATATGGAGATCCAGGGGCTGCCCACTACTCCAGGTTAGTTCTTTATTTTTGTGATTTTAAAACCTTCACTCTTTAGTAGTCTATGGTATATCTGTCAATCACAGCTTCTTATTTGCAATAATTTATTTTTATTGGAATGTTCAGTCAGTTATTCAGTATTGAGGGGGTGGGTTTCCCCATGCACCATGACCAGTTTGATCTAGTGTGCGTCCCCCTTTCAATTTCTACTGTCTCCATACCCTACCAGTACTGGTGCTTGCAATCGTTCCCTTTCTGCCAGCGAGGTTTCAGCCTTCTACTGGCAGTGGTATCTGATATTTAGTCCCTTTCTGTCAGTGAGGTCGTCCCTCCTCTGGCAGTGGTACTTAATGCTTCCCCATCTACCAGAGGCATTGGAAACTACTTGGGCGGGACATTTGCGTAATTTAGCTCAGAGGTCTCCTAGAGACATGAGGTTCTTTTACGTGCCATAAATCTACAACATGGGACCCACGGCTTAAAGTCCCTCCCGAAGGACTTGTTCCCTGAATTTTTCTGCCCTTAAAAATTCCATGACATCCACCGGGTTTGAACCCACATACCTTGAGTCATGAGGTGGGAAAGTTACCCCTAGACTACGGAGGCCGCTTATTGGAATGTTACTATGCTACATGTTTCACTCAGTTTTAATCATCATCAGACACATCATAAACAATAATATGTGTCACTGTTCATTACAGAACTGCTTGTGCAACGGATGTTTTGCTGCTGGTCTTATTGTCTAAAATACAGAACAGTAAATATGAATACATAGCCATACAAATACATATGAATTACAGTATTTAAATGTATTAAAATTATTTATCAATAAGTAGTAAAATTCTTAGAGTACCAGTTGTTTTTGGTTTTATGTTAAAATTGTTTTAATGTGGGGTTCTTTGGTTTCTTTTTCTAACCTTGCTAGATATATCTGCCCTTAACATTTACCTTAATGGACTTACTTGCAGAATGCCTAATGAGATTGCAACAATGGATTTTAATGATACATTCCTGAATCTGGACCATCTTCGAGCCAGTTTCCCAGAGCATGAAATTCGTGTACAGACTGATGATCCAAAGAAACTGGTACCTCCCTTCAGGTAAGCATCATGTTGTGTGTGTGAAATTTCTTTATTTTATTCCGTCATCACAACAAGTAGTATGGACACACCATACATTCGTCATTTCTAACAACAGATTTTGGATCATTAACCCTTACACTGTTGCGGTCGACATATGTCGATCTCTGAGAAACATGGCGTCCTTGCTACGATCGACAAAACCCATATTACGACTTTAGAGTTTCAGATCTCAGGTTTCTTTGCACCAATATCATTCAAACTTGGCGGGTGCATAGAGTCATCTGTTTGGAACGTAATGAAGCATCATTCATTTCAATGGCTGCATTCTTCTGCCCTCTGGCTTTAGAAATGTAAAAGGTTGCATCTGCACAGCGAGGCACGCGCCCCGTAGTCATGTGACGTGGGTATTTCACAGGGCTAGTAAAAATGACTTTGTATGAGGGGGTACCCAAAAGAAACTGAACTTATTTTTTTTTAAACTTATTTATTCAAATTTTAAGCACAAACCTTCAATCCCATTCAAAGTACTCTCCACTTACACTAATACACTTGTCTAGTCTTTTATTCCATTTTTCAAAACATTGTCTACATTCATCTTTTGAGATGCTTGACAGCGCCTCCGTCGTTTTTTCCTTCACCTCAGCAACATCAGCAAAACGCTGAAAAAAAGTTCTGATCATTTCGGGACTCTTCTTTCAAAGCACAGCATGCTTCCACGCGACCTTGTTTTTGTTCAGCAGTCAGCAGTCGTGGCACGAATTTCACAGCCACCCTTTTCATTCCCAAATCTTCTGTCAAAATTCGCTGAACTGAGCTCCAAGTCACTCCTGACAGCTCCACAATTTCTTCAATGGTCCGTCGTCGATCTTCCTTGATGATTTCACGAATTTTTTCAACATTTTCATGTGTTCGGGCCATGGAAGGACGACCAGAACGAGGTTTGTCATCAATTGACATTTCACCATTTTTGAAACGGGAAAACCACTCAAACACTTGGGTTTTCCCCATAGCATCGTCCTTGTATGCCGTTTTTAACATTTCAAGAGTTTCTGTTCCACTTTTCCCGAGCAAAAAGCAGAATTTCGCTGCCGCACGCTGTTCACGAAAATCATCCATTGCAAAAACGACGATCACACAAAACAGTTGTCACTTTAAACTCTGCCGAAACTAGTCCTTACCTTCTGAAGCAACAGTAGTCGGCTTATCGACTCAGGAATGTTAGCTCTATGTGCTCATAGCGGCAAAACGCAGTACTACAAAAACTCTGCCCACAAAAAAATTAGTTCGGTTTCTTATGGGTACCCCATCATATTTTCTAAATATTTTTTTCTTAAATAACAGATGACATCAAATTTACCATAATATGACATTCTTAAGCAAACTAGTTACAGAACTTATTAGTTCACGTGTACAGGTTTAGACTTATATCTGGGTGGTGTTCCAACTCAACTCTCTTATATGCAGTAAAGCGCAAATGTTGTGTCTGTAGTGAATATTCTGCTACAACTGTTGTGTAGAGTCCAATTTGTGATCTTGTCACTACATTTGAGATTTGTGTCTTGTTCAGTTTTTAATACCCAGTGGGCATTTCATGCATGCTTACAATTATCTCCAGTATAATAATTAAAAGAAATCTGATTTGTAAAATTAGAGACCAGAATTTGATTTATTGTAACTTTGGCTTCTGTCAGTCATGTTACAATGTACTGAAGCATGTAATTATTTGTGGATATAACAGGCTAACGTTTGGTGAGGTCTTAAGCAAGAAACGATATTCAGCAGACACTGATGAATTGAAATCTTCCAAGGTGATCACTGTGCAGCCTCATGTGATCCCAAGCAGAGGACCATACCTGTTCAATGAGCCCAAAAAGTAAGTTTTATTGGTCAATTTTATGGATCAGGACATTAGAAAAGATTGGGGATTTATTTCTTGATTGGTTCACAGAAGAGCAAAGGATAAATCTTTGGGTTGTCTGTATGTGTTATGTCTTTTAGGCCAGAACATTACATATACTGCTGAATCAGATAATGATATTCCCATATGTGCTTCTAATTTCTTGAATTTTGTCCTGTTCATGTAGGAATGCAATTCCATTCACACCCACGCAGGTAGAGGCAATTCGTGCTGGAATGCAGCCAGGCCTGACATTGGTTGTGGGTCCACCAGGAACAGGGAAAACAGATGTGGCTGTTCAGATAATCTCAAATCTTTACCACAACTTCCCGGCACAGCGGACGCTCATTGTTACTCATTCAAATCAGGCCTTGAATCAGCTTTTTGAGAAAATCATGCAACTTGATATTGATGAGAGGCATCTGCTGCGTCTTGGTCATGGAGAAGAAGCTCTTGAAACGGAGAAAGACTTCAGCAGGTTTGCAGAACTCTTAATGAACACATCATCTTGAGGCTCTTGAAGATCTGAGGGTTGATAAACATGAACTTCTTTCAGGTATGGGCGAGTGAACTATGTTCTGGCAAAACGCTTGGATTTGCTGATGGAAGTGCAGAGACTTCAGGATAGTCTGAAAGTCACTGGTGATGTTGCTTACACATGTGAGACTGCAGGCCACTTCTTCCTGTATCACATCTTGGCTCGATGGGAACGCTTCCTCAGTAGAGTCCGTCCACGTTCAGGCAAGGTATGATTCAAGCCATCGTTCAGCACTCTCCAAATGTGGACTCCTGGACTTTGTTTTGTTCTTTTGCAATTACAAATGATAAGGTTGCATATATGCACATAAGAGGTACAAGTACAGAAGTACAGCTGTCTCTGGTCATTGTTAATTGCCATGTCATGAAGATGTGGGGGGGAGTAGAAGTATACTTCCATGCATTCTTGGCACTAGAGTGGAGTGTGTGGTCAGTGTCATGCTTCGGCAGCTTTACTCCCAGAGGAAGAAATTCCAATATACCCATTGAGTAGAAGACTGGGTTGACCCTGGAGCTGTCGTGAACGTAGTGGAGGACCCACCTCTCTCTCTCTTTCTCTCTCTCTCACACACACACACACACACACATGCGTACACCCACAGGAGGCTCCATCAAAGAATTGGTATTGGTAGGATTTCAAGTTCTTGAATGATGTTTTGCAAGCAAGTTGGAGGTACTTCAGTTGGATTTCTTCCTAGAATAGAAATGTTGAGCCACTTAAGCATAGGAACTGTTTTCCCATAGGTGTAAGTTGTCAGAACATAAAGCTGACCAGTTACCTCCAACTGGTGCCAAAGTGAAAGACATAGCTAACTTTGCCTCTTAGGTCCACCATATCTTGATGGCATAGGTACATTGTCACACTTTATTTTATTATTCTAAGAATTTGAATTGTCCTGTATAACAGACAGTATGATTTCATATATTAATTCTTTGCTAACTTACAAGTGTTCTGAATTCCTGGTCAGCAGCAACATATTAAAGAGGGTAATTTCACTATAAAATATAATTCTTTCCAGATTATTCCAGTGAGAACTGTTAAAGATGAGTTTCCATTCCACCGCTTTTTTGATAATGCACCAAAACCTCTCTTCAAATGTCAGAATTATGAAGAAGATATGGAAATTGCTGAAGGTTGCTTCAGGTGAGATATTAATATGTGAAATTAAGACTGTAGCCTTCTGGAATGTGAAGCCATGTAGTTTGATCCCTTGCAGCTTGCATTTAAATTGCCACAAATCCCACTTGTAGCAGTATGATTACAGACATTATATTAATTTTTGTCATCTTTCGTGTATGTAAATAAATACAGTGCACTGTTTGGTATAAAGGATAGCACAAAAGANTATAAAGTGACAGCCACCGAGTTGTACTGTAACAGCCGCCAAGTCGAGACGTAGAGTCAGCCAGTCAGTTGTATTCTGGCATTTGGAGTGTAATATTTGTGATACTGCAGATAGCAGTAATCGTCAGATTGTAATTTGGGTGATTGTAAGAGCGAGTGTGAAATAAAATTCGCTACATCGAATACATCGAGAATTTATTTGTCGCGATATACCCCGCGATACGCGACAACTGGTGTCAGAAGTGGGATCAGTAACGCAAACACGTTACAATATTAAAGAGGGTAATTTCACTATAAAATATAATTCTTTCCAGATTATTCCAGTGAGAACTGTTAAAGATGAGTTTCCATTCCACCGCTTTTTTGATAATGCACCAAAACCTCTCTTCAAATGTCAGAATTATGAAGAAGATATGGAAATTGCTGAAGGTTGCTTCAGGTGAGATATTAATATGTGAAATTAAGACTGTAGCCTTCTGGAATGTGAAGCCATGTAGTTTGATCCCTTGCAGCTTGCATTTAAATTGCCACAAATCCCACTTGTAGCAGTATGATTACAGACATTATATTAATTTTTGTCATCTTTCGTGTATGTAAATAAATACAGTGCACTGTTTGGTATAAAGGATAGCACAAAAGAGCCATCTCTTGATGACAAGACAGAATACTAGTACAGTCTATATACAAACTGAAAAGCATCTCAGAGACATACTGCAGCTCAGCAAACAGAGTAGTTAGCCATCTCTTGAAAATGACATTAGTCAACACTGGGTTAAAAAGAATAAAAGATTGAACGTTTGAAGCCTCATATATTTCAAAATTCAATACATATTTGTTCAAAAGAAAATAAAATGTATGTTTAGAATCCTTAATGTTAGATGCTTCCAATGTTTTTGTTAATACTGTATAGTATAGTGTAATATTTTATGTATCTGTTAATATGAAACTGTCATGTGGTAAAGGACCAGTGAAATAAATGTAAGGTCTTAATGTCTTTAACAGGTATCTGGAGAAGATATTCACTCAACTTGAAGAGTTTCGGGCATTTGAACTGCTGCGCAGCGGGTTGGACCGTTCAAAGTATCTGCTTGTGAAGGAGGCAAAAGTGATTGCCATGACTTGTACCCATGCTGCACTCAAACGGAGGGAATTAGTTGATCTTGGTATGTAGATTAAACTTATGGTGGGCTGTGTTCAGTAAGTATTAATATAAGCAACTAACCAAGCCTGGCAGCAGGTCCCTGAAAGTCCATATTTAAACACAGTACTGAGTTCTTGCAAGTTCTAGCTCCCTTGCCTCCTGTCATCCTTTCTTCATGAGATTCAGCTAAATATTATTATCCTGTCTGCCCAACTGAAGCTCCATGCCCACCCTTAATTTGCCTATTTTTACTATCTCAGCACTATTTTTTGTGACATATATAAACCAAAAAGTTCCCTGTTGTCTGACATCCTAATATACACAGAGAGATGTGACTAAAATACCAAGACTTCTAGACCAGCAATTACTAATCTGTAACCTTGAATTTATGTTATGAATCATGAATTAGAATTTCTAACACTAGTCCTTGCAAACATCTCTCCTAAGCAAAGTGTGTTTTACTTTTTCTTATTTTCCTTTTCTCCCAAGTTTGTAGACTCAAGTTCTGTACTCGTATTTTGAAATCACTGAAAATGTACTTAAGAGAAGTAAAAGTAAAATGGAAACATGAGGTGAAGGTTTTGAGAGGTATTATGGGTGATTTTCTTATTGCTAGTATGAGGTACACTATTTTGGATATTTCAGTGTACAAAATTTTTCATTGCAAATATTAACTCTGTGATACCTGCAGCCTTAATGGATCAAGCAGCAAGGAGCTTTACATATCTTTGTTTTCAGGTTTCAAGTATGACAACATCCTAATGGAGGAGGCAGCACAGATCCTTGAGATTGAAACATTCATTCCTCTGCTGCTGCAGAATCCTGAAGACGGCTTTAGTCGACTTAAACGCTGGATCATGATTGGTGATCACCATCAGCTGCCACCCGTAATAAAAAACATGGCATTCCAAAAGTACTCCAACATGGAACAGTCTCTCTTCACTCGCATTGTGAGGCTAGGGGTGCCAACTGTTGACTTGGATGGACAAGGCCGAGCAAGGCCAAGGTTAGTGTTTAGTGTTTTATTCTACAGCAACATGTAAGCTTATAGGGTGTGAACAGTTGAACTGTATGAATGGTGCTATCTTCTTGGATATAATTGCTATGTACTCTGGTAGATGTTTACTAGGATTTTGAAGTAATATACTGCTTCCATCTTCAGCAACTTGCTTGCTTGGCTGTCTTCTCTGCTTTTCCTCCAAAATATCCATAAGCGCAAGAGGATGGCTAAGATGAAATATCATTAAGAATTATGAAATCTAGTGCTCCGTATATCTTGTCTCATTTAACATATTTATATAATGAGATCCTACTAACAGGTATTTTCCCGGAGAGACTGAAGTTTTCTGAAGTTGAACCGCTCTACAAGAAAGGTGATAAAGCTGAAATTTCTAATTACCGTCTTATCTCACTTCTTCCAGCTCTTTCTAAAATCATTGAAAAAATTATTTATAAAAGACTGTACTCCCATATAAATATGAACAATATCTTGGTTAAGGGACAATTTGTATTTAGAAAAGAATCATCCACTAAAATGGCAATGTATAATCTTCTAAATAATATATTGACTTCCCTAGACAAAAAAAAATTATGTGGGTGGTTTATTTTGTGTTTCAATTGTGTCAACCACAATGTATTCCTGGAAAAAATGAACTCTTATTGAATCTCGGGTACAGCAATCAAATTAATGACATCATACCTTGAAAATAGTATCAAAGAACAATTATGAAAGATATTAAACTTAATAAAGTATTTTCAAAATGGGAGCAGGTCAAACATGAAGTTCCACGGGGCTCTATATTGGGACCACTATTATTTCTTATTTACATAAATGATTTCCCATTTTCCTTAAAGAAATTAGCTCAACCTATATTATTTGCGGATGACACAAGTATTATTATAATCTAATTCGAGTCCTGAAGAATTTAGAAGTAATATTATTTCAGTTTTTAATGAAACAATGACATGGTTTAATAGGAACTTTTTAACTCTAAATTGTGATAAAACACATTTCTTACAATTCTTTTTAAAGAAGCATAGAGAAATAGAAATCCAAATTACATCAACCAACTCATTAATTACTAACATCAATTGCTCTAAATTTTTGGGAATAAATATTGATAGCACCCTGTCTTGGAAGAATCATAGTACTGTGTTATAATAAAGATTAAATAAGGCCTGCTTTGCAATAAAGCCCTTTATGTCATGGTAATGCCCCCCTCAGTATGAGTATCTTTAAAATTCAAAATAGAATCATAAGAGTTATGTCTGGTTCAGGCAAATTGATTCATGTTGGGATTTGTTAAAAAAATTACAAATATTGCCACTCCAGTCTCAATATATGTTTTCCTCGCTTCTTGTCGTTATTAATAATAAAAAGTACTTTACATCTAACACAGAGATTCATCATATTAATACCCACTATAATAATAATTTATGCCTACCCTCTACAAATTTATCAGTAGTACAAAAAGGAGTGCTTTTCTCTGGAAGCAAGATTTATAATCACTTACCTTTGAATATTAAATTGTTATCTAAAGACATTAAGCAATTCAAATCTTTATTGAGAAGCTATCTCACTGCACATGCATTTTATAGCATTGTTGAATTTTACAAAACAATTTCCCAATGAATACCTTTACATTATTTAGTTAATAGTTGTAATTTACATTTATTACCACATTTGTATTAATTCTATGTAAAATTGTTTCAGATGGCTGCTGTAAGATTTATGACATGTATATGAGATTTACTGTTATACTGTTGTTTTATATTTATAATGACAGTTTCTATAGCCTCTAGGTCATTTGACCTTGTATGGATTAATGGAATGTAATTAAATAATTACTTACTTACTTACT